TTAGCCTACAAAGCCCTAAATGGTTCCGGCCCCACTTACCTCTCCGAACGCATCTCCACCTATGAACCAACGCGGACACTAAGATCTTCCGGGGAGGCCCTGCTCTCGGTCCCGCCGGCGTCACAGGCACGGTTGGCGGGGACGAGGGACAGGGCCTTCTTGGTGGTGGCTCCTCGGCTATGGAATGCCCTACCTGTAGACATCAGACAGTCCCCTTGGCTGCTGGCGTTTCGGAAGAAGGTTAAGACTTGGCTCTACGAGCAAGCGTTTGGCTAAACGGTGCAACTGAACACAGGAAGACGGTAAAATTCAACATAGGAATGGCACAAGGATTATGAGAATGGATTTTGCTCTGTTATCGAGGCGTTATGAATTGATAATAATTGTTGATTTTGTTGTTGTGTATGATGTGTTTTAACTGTTTATTGTTGTGATAACCTGCATTGTGTAAACCGCATTGAGTCGCCTAATTTAGGCTGAAAAATGCGGTATAGAAATAAAGCAAATAATAATCATAATAATAATAATAATAATAATAATAATAATAATAATAATAATAATTGCGCAAAAGCTCTCCCGGCCACCGCCGAGATATGGCTCTTAATGAGACATGCCACATTATCACGCGGTGTCTGCGCCCCACACCACTGGAGAAATTACACTGCTTAGCCGGTATTGCACCACCTGACATCCGCCGGGAAGGAGCAGCCAATAGTGAAAGGACCAAGGCAGAGACAGAATGCTTCTTTTACATCTCTATCTAATTTCAATGAATTGGGTTGTGTGTCTGACACTCTCGTGGGCCTTCCTCAAAAACAAGATCTTCTCCAACCGAAGATTGCAAGTCCCATTATCCTAAGCTGGCAAAGGAGGCCTCAGGTTGGTGAAAGGACGTGGGAAGGTAGGCATCCAACCTTTGGGGCCATCTTTATTATTTATTTATTTATTTGTTTCACAGTTTTCTATACCGAGCTTCTCAACCTCATTGAGGGACTCAGCCCGGTTTCCAACCATAAAAACATATACAGTCATTAAAATATCACATATCACAGAATTACAAAAACAACTTTAAAAACACTATATATAAAACTACAGTGGTCAGTCGTCCTATTAAGATGGATCTACATCAACTTCCATCCAGGGTCCTATGGTGTTGTCTCATTCATCGAAGGCCTGACTCCACAGCCACGTCTTCACCCGTTTCCTAAATGTTAGGATGGATGGGGAGATTCTGGCCTCCAGAGGGAGAGAGTTCCAGAGTCGCGGGGCCACCACCGAGAAGGCCCTGTCCCTCGTCCCCACCAGGCATGCTTGCGAGGCCGGTGGGACCGAGAGCAGGGCCTCTCCAGATGATCTTAATAATCTTGATGGTTCGTAAGGGAGAATACATTCGGAGAGGTAAACAGGGCCAGAGTCGTTTAGGGCTTTATAGGTTAACACCAGCACTTTGAATTGTGCTCGGAAGCTAATTGGCAGCCAGTGGAGCTGGTGTAACAGCGGAGTGGTGTGCTCCCTGTACCCAGCACCCGTTAGTAGTCTGGCTGCCGCGCGTTGGACTTGCTGCAGCTTCCGGGCAGTCTTCAGAGGCAACCCCACGTAGAGAGCGTTGCAGTAATCTAAGCGGGATGTAACCAAAGCGTGTACTACCGTGGCCAAGTCAGCCCTCCCAAGGTATGGACGCAGCTGGCGCACAAGTTTTAATTGTGCGAAAGCTCCCCTGACCACCGCTGAGACCTGGGGTTCCAGGCTCAGCGATGAATCCAGGAGAACTCCCACACTGCGTACCTGAGCTTTCAATCTTTACCTTTGGGGCTGGCGAAGGTGTCCGGGCGCCTTCTTCCGTGAACTCCTCGTAGTAGAAAAGGACGCCGCTCAGTTGCAGGATCTTGTGGACGAACGGAGGCGGCTGGTGGATGTCAACAGAGAGCGTTTGCCCGGGATCTTTCACCGCTTCGTCACAGTAGTCCAACCTGGGGGAAAGAGCACACGCGTTAGAACAAGGCAAGACCAATGTTTGGATGAGTGGCCATGTCAGATAGAAATGGCACAGCATATCTAATCATGGAGAAAATACTGTTTGATGAATATGTGGTATATTGATAGCACTTGAGTATGACTGTGAATGCCACGATGCAGTACCTAAGGGGATTTTATTTATTTCTCGTGTCAGGACAACCAGTCAAATATATTACATTTCTAACAGAACAAAGCAAACAAACAGACAAAATACAAAATTTGCAAGTTTGGTAGTTGATTCAATGTCCTTTGACCAGTATCTGGCCACTTGGAGTGCTTCTGGTGTTCCTGCAAGAAGGTCCTCCATGGTGCATGTGGCAGGGCTCAGGGTGCATTGCAGCAGGTGGTCAGTGGTTTGCTCTTCTCCGCACTCTCATGCCGTGGTTTCCACTTGGTGGCCCCATTTCTGAAGGTTGGCTCTGCATCTCGTGGTGCCAGAGCGCAGTCTGTTCAGCGCCTTCCAAGTCGCCCAGTCTTCTGTGGGCCCGGGGGGGGAGTCTCTCATTGGTTGAGGTTCTGGGTTTGAGCCTGCCACTTTTGGACTCTCGCTTGCTGGGGTGTTCCAGCGAGTGTCTCTGTAGATCTCAGAAAACTATTTCTTGATTTAAGTCGTTGACATGCTGGCTGATACCCAAACAAGGGATGAGCTGGAGATGTCTCTGCCTTGGTCCTTTCACTATTGACTGCCACTTCCCAGCGGATATCAGGTGGTGCAATACCGGCTAAGCAGTGTAATTTCTCCAGTGGTGTGGGGCACAGACACCCCGTGATAATGCGGCATGTCTCATTAAGAGCCACATCCACTGTTTTAGCGTGGTGAGATGTGTTCCACACTGGGCATGCGTACTAAGTAGCAGAGTAGCACAGCGCAAGGGCAGATGTCTTTGCTGTGTCTGGTTGTGATCCCCAGGTTGTGCCAGTCAGCTTTCGTATGATGTTGTTTCTAGTGCCCACTTTTTGCTGGATGTTCAGGCAGTGCTTCTTGTAGGTCAGAGCATGGTCCAGAGTGACTCCCAGGTATTTGGGTGCGCTGCAATGCTCCAGTGGGATTCCTTCCCAGGTAATAATCCTCAGAGCTCGGGATGCTTCTCTGTTCTTAAGGTGAAAGGCGCATGTCTGTGTTTTAGATGGGTTAAGGATCAGCTGGTTTCCCTGTAATAGGCAGTTAGAGCACCTAGAGCTTCGGAGAGCTTCTGTTCAACCATCTCAAAGCTCCCTGCTTGAGCGGTGATGGCATGATCATCAGCATAGATGAAACTCTCTGTCCCTTCTGGCAGTGGCTGGTCATTTGTGTAGATGTTGAACATGGATGGAGCAAGCACGCTCCCCTGAGGCAGGCCGTTCTTCTGTTTCTGCCATCTGCTTCTCTGGCCCTGAACTCAACAAAAAAGCTCCTGTTTTGTAGCAGGTTTCCTCTGAGGCGGGTGAGGTGGTCGTCTTTAGTGATATTATACATTTTTCTCAGGAGGAGGCAGTGGTGGTTCACAGTCTCATAAGCCGCTGACATGTTTATGAACACAACTCCTGTGATCTGCTGCCTTTCAAAGCCATCTTCTATGTGCTGAGTCAGGTTCAGCACTTGCGATGTGCAGCTTCTGCCTTTCCTGAAGCCAGCTTGCTGTGGGATCAGACAGGGGTCTATATTTTCCATAATTCTATGCAAAATAAGTCTCTCCAGAACTTTGTAGAGGTGGCACAGCAGGGAGATTGGTCTGTAGCTTTTTGAGTCATTACGGTCTTTTTGGGTCATTCCCCGCTGTTGTAAAAAGCCTTACCTTTTGATGTGCACCTCTAAGGCGATCCTGCTCTCCGCCCCGGCGGGCACGTGCTCAACACGTATCACTGTGTCCAGAAAGGTCACTTCGATCCTCCGCAGAACTGGAAAGGGAAAAATACATATAGTAAGCCTTTTGGGGTTAGGGGCACAAGACCCCTGGGAAAATGAAAAAAAAAAAAAACGCTGATAAAGACATCAGACGTCATTTGAGAAAACCACTCCCTTGGAACTTGGAGTTGTGTTGCACTTCAGGCAGGAAACATCCCTTGACTTTAAACACCACATCGTTGGATGGAAAACAATCCTTTTATTGAAGATAGTTAAAAAGCAGTAAGGTAAATAAGCACTTTAAAGAAATAGGTAAATCCAATTAGGTGGGAAGATAAGCAGGAACAAATCCAAGAATCAAAATCATGAAACAAAAGCCCTTAAAACATGAATTTTCCAAGCAATGCTTCCATGAACAAGGATGAGATCTTAATAATAATAATAATAATAATAATAATAATAATAATCTTTATTTATACTCCGCCACCATCTCCCCAATGGGGACTCGGAGTGGCTTACATGGGGCCAAGCCCGGATAACATATTACAGCAAAATAGAAGCAAAGCATAAACAACAAACATCATCATCAAAATTACATTTTAAAAAGTATAACATAGTCATAAAATAACATTTCAATAAACACAATCACGATAACAATGGGCAGGCCACATGTACAAGATAAAACGATTAAAATCTAATGAGATAAAAATAGGAGCAGGTTATTTGCAGGTAACTAATAAAAACAAACAGAGTTGTGAAGCTAAACTTCCCATTTGGAGGGTGTGTACTCCAGTGGCAGAAGTGTTGAGGGGAGCAAGAGTGTCGTGTTGTGCACCTACTCGCCAAAGGCGCAGCGGAAGAGCCAGGTTTTAAGGTCCTTTTTGAATGTTTCTAGTGAAGGGACTTTCCTGATCTCTCCAGATAATGAGTTCCAAAGTTGAGGAGCCACAGAGAAGGCTCTTTCCCTTGTACCCACAAGACGAGCTTGTGAGATTGGTAGGGGTGAAAGGAGATCGAAGGGCTCCGATTAGGGTCTTGACTTGATTCCAAACGATGCTTCATCTGACTACATATCCTGTACTTGTGACTTTTATCTCTTCGTTAGCTATGTCTCTAGCACTCAGAAACTGGTTTCACTTTAGCTGAGAATTCCTTATCTTTTTCTCTCAGAGACTGGCAGAACGCCGAAGCCACTGTTCGGCTCTCCTGTTTTGACTAATCACCACCTGTCTATCTATTTGCTCATTAATTTCTGCAGCTGGGCCAGGTGCCGAGCTGTTTTCATGTTCCCAATCATAGGAACTCTCCAGTAACAATTCGGAAAGCACACTTATTATTATTATTATTATTATTATTATTATTATTATTATTGACACAAAAGCACAGTATGTCGCAGCAAACGAGATCTCTATGCTGGATTTCCTATCACAAAATCACAAGGCAAACACTTCCCAAGCGTCTAAGACTGTGTGATGTATTTTCGAATGATGGGCGCAGATTCAAGTCAGGTGGCCTTTTGTAGTTGACAGATCGTGATTTTGTCGATGTTTATTGTTTCCAAATGCCGGCGGAGATCTTTTGGCATGGCACCCAGTGCGCCAATGACCACTGGGACCACCTGGACTGGTTGATGCCAGAGCCTTTGCAGTTCAATTTTGAGGTCTTGATAACAGCTGAGTTTTTCCTGTTGTTTTTCCTCAATGCGACTATCACCTGGTATGGCGACATCGATAATCCAAACTTTTTTCCAAGGACGAATTCTTGACTTGATTCCAAACAATGCTTCTTCTGACTACAAATCCTGTACTTGGGACTTTTATCTCTTCGTTAGCTATGTCTCTAGCACTCAGAAACTGGTTTCACTTTAGCTGAGAATTCCTTATCTTTTTCTCTCGGAGACTGGCAGAACACCAAAGCCACTGTTCGGCTCTCCTGTTTTGACTAATCACCTCCCGTCTATCTATTTGCTCATTCATTTCTGCAGCTGGGCCAGGTGCCGAGCTGTTTTCATGATCCCTATCATAGGATGTTGAGATTAACTTCACAATTCAGCAGCAGATCAGTTGCACAACTTCAGCGCTTTCCAGTAGCTTCTTCCTGCACAGTATTTTCAGTCAACTGCTCCCACAAGCCGCAGTCACTCTGGAACCTTTTACATACACTTGAGCACATGCCCAGCCATTGTCAGTTTTACCATTGTCCTTTCCCCAGTCTAGATGATATTACAAACTTACCACAGCATACAGTTATATCTTGTCTTAGCAGACAGGTTCTTTTTTTTTTTACATATAGCCTTCGACGAACAACATCAGAGCACAAGGAGAAAGAATACACTGTACATGACTTCCTTATATACAATTCTATACAATTACACATAGCAATCTCTGATTGGTTCCCAATTCATTAACTTAACTCAGACCCAGGATTGCATCATTCACAATCACCTGGACTAGGCCAGAACACATTCCCCAAATTAAGTTCTATATACAGTTAATGCATGACTCCGCATTTCCAATAGAAGCCCATTAGCAGTGCATGACTCAGCTATATTACATTACAATACATTGTAAAACCTGACATAGGAACTCTCTGGTAACAATTTGGAAAGCACACTATTATTATTATTATTATTATTATTATTATTATTATTAGGCTTCCCATGTCCTTCAAAGATGCCCACCAGCTTCCCCATTTCAAGACTAGGGCTCGTGCGATTTTCTATCCCCAGCATCATTGGGCTGCTGCTTTGAAGGGGTTGCTCGACACACCAAACCCACTCACCGGTTTCAATGGTCTGGGCAAACATCTCCAGCCCCTCCAGTGGTTGAGGGGTGTCGGAGGGCTCTTCCGCTTGGTCCTTCAGGCACTCCTGTGCCAGTTGCATGCTGGTGGTCATGCATGATGCCCAGCTTTGCGACTCTGAGCCGGGGGCGGCTGTGGAGACAGAAAGGATAGGGAGGAAAAGAACACATCCAACAAAATATGCACAATGTCCTCAATGGAGTGTCCTTCTCTGGAGGTTCATCCTTTCTTCTCTTTCTAAACATTACACAAAATTTATGTATTTCTATGTAAACAATCCACATGTAATGAGGGGGTACTAACACATCCATTATCCACAGTCGCTTAAATGTGGGGTAAATAAATAATACAGAATGTATACAGTGTTCCCTCACTTATTGCGGGAGTTCCGGTCCAGGATCACCCGTGATAACTGAAAATCCACGAAGTAGGGACACTATATTAACTGTAATATTTATACATTATTTTAGCATATTATAAGAAGCGCGCATGCGCAGTCATCAATATATTAATTGTAATATTTATACATTATTTTAGTAGATGTATAAGAAGCACGCATGCGTAGCCATAAATATAATTGTAATATTTATACATTATTTTAATAGATGTATAAGAAGCACGCATGCGCAGCCATAAATAAATTAATTGTAATATTTATACATGATTTTAGCATACGTGTAAGAAGCGCACATGCGCAGCCATAAATAAATTAATTGTAATATTTATACATGATTTTAGCATACGTGTAAGAAGCGCACATGCGCAGTCATAAATATATGAATTGTAATATTTATACATGATTTTAGCATACGTGTAAGAAGCGCACATGCGCAGTCATCAATATATGAATTGTAATATTTATACATGATTTTAGCATACGTGTAAGAAGCGCACATGCGCAGTCATCAATATATGAATTGTAATATTTATACATTATTTTAGCATATGTATAAGAAGTGCGCATGCGCAGTCATCAATATATTAATTGTAATATTTATACATTATTTTAGCATATTATAAGAAGCGCGCATGCGCAGTCATCAATATATTAATTGTAATATTTATACATTATTTTAGTAGATGTATAAGAAGCACGCATGCGTAGCCATAAATATAATTGTAATATTTATACATTATTTTAATAGATGTATAAGAAGCACGCATGCGCAGCCATAAATAAATTAATTGTAATATTTATACATGATTTTAGCATACGTGTAAGAAGCGCACATGCGCAGCCATAAATAAATTAATTGTAATATTTATACATGATTTTAGCATACGTGTAAGAAGCGCACATGCGCAGTCATAAATATATGAATTGTAATATTTATACATGATTTTAGCATACGTGTAAGAAGCGCACATGCGCAGTCATCAATATATGAATTGTAATATTTATACATGATTTTAGCATACGTGTAAGAAGCGCACATGCGCAGTCATCAATATATGAATTGTAATATTTATACATTATTTTAGCATATGTATAAGAAGTGCGCATGCGCAGTCATCAATATATTAATTGTAATATTTATACATTATTTTAGCATATTATAAGAAGCGCGCATGCGCAGTCATCAATATATTAATTGTAATATTTATACATTATTTTAGTAGATGTATAAGAAGCACGCATGCGTAGCCATAAATATAATTGTAATATTTATACATGATTTTAGTAGATGTATAAGAAGCGCGCATGCGCAGCCATAAATAAATTAATTGTAATATTTATACATGATTTTAGCATACGTGTAAGAAGCGCACATGCGCAGTCATCAATATATGAATTGTAATATTTATACATGATTTTAGCATACGTGTAAGAAGCGCACATGCGCAGTCATCAATATATGAATTGTAATATTTATACATGATTTTAGCATACGTGTAAGAAGCGCACATGCGCAGTCATCAATATATGAATTGTAATATTTATACATTATTTTAGCATATGTATAAGAAGTGCGCATGTGCAGTCATTAATATATGAATTGTAATATTTATACATTATTTTAGCATATGTATAAAAAGTGCGCATGTGCAGTCATTAATATATGAATTGTAATATTTATACATTATTTTAGCATATGTATAAAAAGTGCGCATGTGCAGTCATTAATATATGAATTGTAATATTTATACATTATTTTAGCATATGTATAAGAAGTGCGCATGTGCAGTCATTAATATATGAATTGTAATATTTATACATTACTTTAGCATACGTGTAAGAAGCACGCATGTGAGGTCATAAATATATGAATTGTAATATTTATACATTATTTTATTATATGTGTAAGAAGCGCACATGCGCAGTCTAGCCCTCGCGCTTCCTTATCCGTCTCCGGAGCCTATCAACTCTATGATTCTTAAGTGTCCCATCCCCTCCACCACTCTGTTCGCCACCCTCCAAAAGCTCACCACTCCGGTACTTGGGACGGCAGGTGATCTGCAGACCGCTCACTTCCACGGTGCAGTTCTCGGTGACTAAGGCAGACCAGGGGATGGTGACCGCGATGCTGTCGATGAAGCCATCCACGATCTCCAGCGGGGCTCCGACGGACTCCAGGAACTCATTGACGGACTGGGGAAGAGGAAAGGGGAATGAATCCTTATGGGCACTATAACGGCATTTCGACAGACCCTACAAGTCGCATAGGGGAAGAAATGTCTGGGTCTGTGCTGGAGACGAAGAAGACGGGCACACAGGATCAGCTTGCGACTGACAAAATGATACTGGAGAATTGCAAAGGCCGCAAAACAATCTTCTATGCAACATGGATTGATTACAAAAAAAAAAAAAAAAAGCATTTGACTCACTGCCACATAGTTGGATCATCAAATGTCTGGAGGCCATGAGGGTTTGTGAAAATATTAGCAAGTTCATCAAATGTCTGTTCATCAAATATTTTATATTACATGTAATATTACTAATAATATGGTGATTGTGTTGATGGGAGTACTGTGCATCGTTGGGCGAATATGTTTAAAGATGTTCAGGTGGGAACATCTGACTTGCGTGACAAATGAAGAGTTGGAGGTCCTGTGACAGCAACCACCAAGTTTCACAAGCAAAAGGTTGACAATTGGTTCAGGACGATTTCAAGCATAATCAGCATTTCACAAGAGCGTGTGGGTCACATTATTGCTTTGCTTGGCTATCGGAAGATCTGTGCACAATGGGTACCCAGGATGAGAAAACTGGGAGACGATGGTTGTGGAAACAGAGTGTCGACTTCTTCCGCGACGGCTTCAAATAACTTGTTCATCGTTGGCAGAAAAGTATCCAATTGTCTGGTGATTATGTGGGAAAGTGAATAGTGGTCGTTAAAGAGCACATTCTAAGGATTATTTCAAGCATAATCGGCATTTCACAAGAACGTGTGGGTCACATTATTGCCTTGCTTGGCTATCGGAAGATCTTCTTCTTCCGCGACGGCTTCAAATAACTTGTTCATCGTTGGTAGAAATGTATCCAATTGTCTGGTGGTTATGTGGGAAAGTGAATTGTGGTCGTTAGAGAGCACATTCTAAGGATTATTTCAAGCATAATTGGCATATCACAAGAACGTGTGGGTCACATTATTGCTTTGCTTGGCTCTCGGAAGATCTGTGCATTATGGATTGCGGAAACAGTGTCGACTTCTTCCGCGACGGCTTCAAATAACTTGTTCATTGTTGGTAGAAATGTATCCAATTGTCTGGTGGTTATGTGGGGAAGTGAATTGTGGTCGTTAGAGAGCACATTCTAAGGATTATTTCAAGCATAATTGGCGTATCACAAGAACGTGTGGGTCACATTATTGCCTTGCTTGGCTATCGGAAGATCTGTGCACGATGGGTGGAAACAGAGTGTCGACTTCTTCTGCGACGGCTTCAAATAACTTGTTCATTGTTGGCAGAAATGTATCCAAAGTGAATTGTGGTCATTAAAGAGCACATTCTAAGGATTATTTTAAGCATAATCGGCATTTCACAAGAACGTGTGGGTCACATTATTGCCTTGCTTGGCTATCGGAAGATCTTCTTCTTCCGCGACGGCTTCAAATAACTTGTTCATCGTTGGTAGAAATGTATCCAATTGTCTGGTGGTTATGTGGGAAAGTGAATTGTGGTCGTTAGAGAGCACATTCTAAGGATTATTTCAAGCATAATTGGCATATCACAAGAACGTGTGGGTCACATTATTGCTTTGCTTGGCTCTCGGAAGATCTGTGCATTATGGATTGCGGAAACAGTGTCGACTTCTTCCGCGACGGCTTCAAATAACTTGTTCATTGTTGGTAGAAATGTATCCAATTGTCTGGTGGTTATGTGGGGAAGTGAATTGTGGTCGTTAGAGAGCACATTCTAAGGATTATTTCAAGCATAATTGGCGTATCACAAGAACGTGTGGGTCACATTATTGCCTTGCTTGGCTATCGGAAGATCTGTGCACGATGGGTGGAAACAGAGTGTCGACTTCTTCTGCGACGGCTTCAAATAACTTGTTCATTGTTGGCAGAAATGTATCCAAAGTGAATTGTGGTCATTAAAGAGCACATTCTAAGGATTATTTTAAGCATAATCGGCATTTCACAAGAACGTGTGGGTCACATTATTGCCTTGCTTGGCTATCGGAAGATCTTCTTCTTCCGCGACGGCTTCAAATAACTTGTTCATCGTTGGTAGAAATGTATCCAATTGTCTGGTGGTTATGTGGGAAAGTGAATTGTGGTCGTTAGAGAGCACATTCTAAGGATTATTTCAAGCATAATTGGCATATCACAAGAACGTGTGGGTCACATTATTGCTTTGCTTGGCTCTCGGAAGATCTGTGCATTATGGATTGCGGAAACAGTGTCGACTTCTTCCGCGACGGCTTCAAATAACTTGTTCATTGTTGGTAGAAATGTATCCAATTGTCTGGTGGTTATGTGGGGAAGTGAATTGTGGTCGTTAGAGAGCACATTCTAAGGATTATTTCAAGCATAATTGGCGTATCACAAGAACGTGTGGGTCACATTATTGCCTTGCTTGGCTATCGGAAGATCTGTGCACGATGGGTGGAAACAGAGTGTCGACTTCTTCTGCGACGGCTTCAAATAACTTGTTCATTGTTGGCAGAAATGTATCCAAAGTGAATTGTGGTCATTAAAGAGCACATTCTAAGGATTATTTTAAGCATAATCGGCATTTCACAAGAACGTGTGGGTCACATTATTGCCTTGCTTGGCTATCGGAAGATCTTCTTCTTCCGCGACGGCTTCAAATAACTTGTTCATCGTTGGTAGAAATGTATCCAATTGTCTGGTGGTTATGTGGGAAAGTGAATTGTGGTCGTTAGAGAGCACATTCTAAGGATTATTTCAAGCATAATTGGCATATCACAAGAACGTGTGGGTCACATTATTGCCTTGCTTGGCTATCGGAAGATCTGTTGTCTGGTGAATGTGGTTATACATTATTATCCACCTTACTAAACCACTTATCCTTTAACTAGTTCACATAGTGGTTTTCCTCCCCCCCCCCTCCAAAATTACTTTGCTGTTATTGTTGTTTCTCGCTATTATTGTTATGTTGTTTTACACTGCTTTATGCTGTCTTAATTGTTTTTGCTTTGTTTTTAATTGTATTTTGCCTTCGGCTTGGGCCCCATGTAAGCTGCCCCGAGTCCCTTCGGGGAGATGGAGGAGGGGTAGAAAAATAAAGTTCCTCCTCCTCCTCTTCTTCTTCTTCTTCTAGTTAGAGAGCACATTCTAAGAATTATTTCTGCATTTGATTTATTAAAATATTCCCATCCAAACCCAAGTAACGAAGGTGGAGGCATTACTTTTCATTCAACCCTCGTAATGTGCAGTTCTCAGCACAGGAGCTAGAATAGAATAGAAAATAAACTTCGGAATAGAAAATAAACTTCGGAATAGAAAATAAACCAGCTGGAATAGAAAATAAACTTCGGTGGCCTTGCTTCATCATACTTTTCATTCAACCCTCGTATAGAAATTCACACCAAGATAGTAAAGAAAGTTAAGGAACGGAAAGAAATAACGGAAAAGGAAGAAGTAAATATGTAAATATAAACATAAGTATGGAAATGTATGACTGTTTATACAAGTTCGCACAAAGATGATAAGCCTCCCTTCCTCGCTCCTTCCTATTCTTCTATTGTTACTTTTCTCTCTCACTCCCTCTTTGTCTTCTTTCTGTCCTCTATCCAGCCTTCCCTTTCCCCAGATCTGAAGGAAATAGAGTGTTTACGTTGTCAGAAAGGACATGACACCTTTCCCTACTCAGGATTCCGGCAGAACTGAACGTGACGGATTCCTTTGCCCTGGGACGGGCCTTTCCAGGAACGTCCCCGACGTCAACAGACGAGTTGTTGTCATCCTAACATTTTTGGCAGGCTGCTTCCTGTTTATTCGAGTCTTCGCTGGTTGTTATTGGGCAACCTTGTCCCTAGCTTGCCTCTCAACTTGGACAGCTTCCCTTTTGACCTTTCCATCCCAGACCTTCTACACTGCTATCTATCCCAGGATCAGATCCTGGATTATCTGGCAGTGGAGACTCATAGAATCCAGTGCAGAGCAGATAACCTGGGATCAGATCCCTGGAACATAAGGATAGCGTAGAAGGGGCCTTGCATGCCAGAAGTCCCTGGAAAACCATTCAGATTCCTTTAGGACAATGTAACGTTTAGGTTGGGTTGTTGTAGATTTTTCGGTCTGTTCCAGAATCATTCTCTCCTGACGTTTCACCCACATCTATGGCAGGCATCTTCAGAGGTTGGAAACTAGGAAAAACGGGTTTATATATCTGTGGAATGATCTCCAGGGTGGAAGAAAGAACTCTTGAATGTTGGAGGCAAGTGTGAATGTTGCAACTGGCCAGCTTGATTAGCATTGAATGGCCTTGCAGCTTCAAAGCCTGACTGCTTCCTGCCTGACGGAATCCTCTCTCTCTCTCTCTCTATATATATATATATATATATATATATACGGAATGATGCCCAGGGTAGGAGAAAGAACTCTTGTCTGATTGAGGCAAGTGTTATTGTTGCCATTGGCCAGCTTGAGTAGCACTTAATGGCCTTGCAGCTTCAAAGCATGGCTGCTTCCTGCCTGGGGGAATCATATATATATTTATACCTGTGGAATGACGTCCAGGGTGGGAGAAAGAACTCTTGTCAGCTGGGGGCAAGCGTGAATGTTGCAATTGGCCAGCTTGGCTAGCACTGAATGGCCTTGCAGCTTCAAAGCCTGGCTGCTTTCTGCCTGAGGGAATCATATATATATTTATACCTGTGGAATAGTGTCCAGGGTGGGAGAAAGAACTCTTGAATGTTGGAGGCTAGTGTGACTGTTGCCATTGGCCAGCTTGATTAGCATTGAATAGCCTTGCAGCTTCAAAGACTGGCTAGTTACTGCCTGGGGGAATCCTCTCTCTCTCTCTCTCTCTCTCTCTCTCTATATATATATATATATGGAACGATGTCCAGGGTGGGAGAAAGAACTGTCTGATTGAGGCAAGCGTGAATGTTGCCATTGGCCAACTTGATTAGCACTGAATGGCCTTGCAGCTTCAAAGCCTGGCTGCTTCCTGCCTGGGGGAAATATCTATCTATCTATCTATCTCTGTGGAATAATGTCCAGGGTGGGAGAAAGAACTCTTGTCTGATTGAGGCAAGTGTTAATGTTGCCATTGGCCAGCTCGACTAGCACTGAATAGCCTTGCAGCTCCAAAGCCTGGCTGTTTCCTGCCTGGGGGAATTATATAATATCTGTGGAATAATGTCTAGGGTGGGAGAAAGAACTCTTGACTGATTGAGGCAAGTGTTAATGTTGCCATTGGTGAATGGCCTTGCAGCTTCAAAGACTGGCTGCTTCCTGCCTGGGGGAATCCTATATATGTGTGTATGTATGTATGTGGAATAATGTCCAGGGTGGGAGAAAGAACTCTTGTCTTCTGGGGGCAAGTGTGAATGTTGCCATTGGCCAACTTGATTAGCATTGAATGGCCTTGCAGCTTCAAAGACTGGCTGCTTCCTGCCTGGGGGAAATCTATCTATCTATCTATCTATCTATTTATCTATCCGTGGAATGATGTCCAGGGTGGGAGAAAGAACTCTTGTCTGCTGGGGGCAAGTGTGAATGTTGCCATTGGCCAACTTGATTAGCATTGAATGGCCTTGCAGCTTCAAAGACTGGCTGCTTCCTGCCTGGGGGAAATCTATCTATCTATCTATCTATCTATTTATCTATCCGTGGAATGATGTCCAGGGTGGGAGAAAGAACTCTTGTCTGCTGGGGGCAAGTGTGAATGTTGCCATTGGCCAACTTGATTAGCATTGAATGGCCTTGCAGCTTCAAAGCATGGCTGCTTCCTGCCTGGGGGAAATCTATTTATCTATCTATCTATCTATCCGTGGAATGATGTCCAGGGTGGGAGAAAGAACTCTTGAATGTTGGAGGCTAGTGTGAATGTTGCCATTGGCCAGCTTGATTAGCATTGAATGGTCTTGCAGCTTCAAAGCCTGGCTGCTTTCTGCCTGGGGGAAATATCTATCTATCTATCTATCTATCTATCTATCTATCTATCTATCTATCTGTGGAATAATGTCCAGGGTGGGAGAAAGAACTCTTGTCTAATTGGGGCAAGTCTGAATGTTGCCATTGGCCAGCTTGATTAGCACTGAATGGCCTTGCAGCTTCAAAGCCTGGCTGCTTCCTGCCTGGCCGGGGGGGGGGGGAATCCTTTGTTGTGAGGTGTTAGCTGGCCCTGATTGTTTCCTCATTAATTCTAGCCACGAAATCCTTGCACAACACCTTATTCTTCCTGTTTCTGTCCCTTTGATTCTACACATCTCTGTTATGTCTCCCTTCCCCTCCTTCCCGTTCCCTTTGTGCGAGGTTTAAGTCTCCGAAGGGCAGACCTATCAAGGGAGCCTCACCCAGACGTCGAGGTGGATGCGGCTGAGGCGCCCGGCGCCGGCGTAGAGGTCGAGGCTCAGCTGCTCCAGGCCCAGCCGCTCCTCCAGGAAGTGGCCCAAGTAATGCTGCAGCAAGTACCGGCAGGCTCGCTTCTTGATGGAGCTCGACCACGGGAAGAACCACCGCGACATGGCGGCGGAGGTGACCGCCCAAGAGGCGCCTTCCCCGGCAGACCGGATCACTTGAGCCCCCGGCTCCGCACCCGGCTTCTTGGGCCAGCTAGGCCCGACCCCGTTGGCAGCCGGGCGCGCTCATTGGCCGCTCCGCCCTCCGCCGCTCGCTATGATTGGCTCGCTCGGGAGGCGGGGGCGGGGACACGGAAGGAGGAGGAAAGAAAACAGAAAGGAATCACTCGGCCCCAGGCGGCTTCCTCATTGGCTACCGCCTCCTTCCTGCTCACACGCCATTGGCTCGCCCGGTGATGTTATGCAAAGGGGGCGGGGCCACCCAGGAGAGGAAAGAAAGCAGATCCACATAATAATATAAATAAATACAAAAATAAGTAAATATAATACAAATAAATTAATATTAAAGCAAAAACACAATTAACAAATGTAACATAATAATATAAATAAGTATAAAAATAAGTAAATATAATATAAATAAATATTAAAGTAAAAATTAACAAATGCAATATAATATAAATAAATATAAAATAAATTAATATAATATAATAGAAACCAATATATTAATAATAAAAGCATAATTAACAAATATAACACAATAATATAAATAAATAAATATTAAAATAAAAACATAAAATGTAACATAATAATATAAATAAATATAAACATAAGTAAATATAACACAATAATATAAATAAATATAAATATAAGTAACTATAATATAAATAAAATATAAGTATAAATTAACATATATAACATAATAATATAAATAAATATATTGGTAAACACCGGTCATTTGTAATCCAGTCACCTCGATATTTCTTTATTGTTTCCCTGTTGCCCACCTCCATTTGACTGAGCGGACAAAGCATGGCCAGGGCCCTCATTGGATCTCCTTCTGGCTCGCTGACGTCATAGCCAATCACAACAAAGCTTGCTCAGGGGGTGGATGCGGGGAAAATTGAATGGAAAACGATATATTCTGTATTTACCTGCCTAGCAAACATATTGGCTTGTTTGGTAGAGAACTGCAGTCGTCATCCGTTCCTTGGTGGCTTTCCTTCAACTTGGCGAGACTTTATTTGGGAAATTTAGGGAAAATCTTTCTTGGTGCTTGCTGTCTCGCCAGGTATTTCGGATCCTCCTTGTAGTTCTGTCTGGCCTCTGCCTAAGCAGGACCTTCCAAATTCGTGTTCGACATCGGTACAGCTTAGTACAATCCATACCTTCTTACTTCTGAAAGTAAAGAGTCTCTCTGCCTTCCTCCTGACAGGTCAAAATGGGCCCCTTGATGGATGTGTGTAAGCTGAATCCTAGTATCTTGCTGTAAATCTTGCTGTAAACTGCTCTTTAGAAAAATTATGGAGACATGCCCCTTGCGTGTACAAAGATATAATTTGATATTTCTATGTTGCTTAAGGTGACGTAGTGATGATGTTGTGTCTGTAGAAGCATGTTTCTTTGTTTGCCTGCATTTGAAGATGTATAAAAGGGAAAGGCAATGCCTTTATCCTCACTCTGGCTTGCTTTCGGAGGAGATTCCACGCTAGGGTCTCAGCTGAAAATAAACTGTACTTTTCTGCCTCTAGCAAAGGATCTCTCTTGGTATTATCTCTCCTATCAGCCACTACAGTATGGATCGAGGTTTTGGGTTTTGGCTTGCCACCTTTGGACTCTCAGTTGCTGATGTGTTCTTGCAAGTATCTCTGTAGATCTTAGAAAACTATTTCTTGATTTTTTTAAAAAAAATAATCTTTACTGAAAAAATTTCATTAAAATCACATATATGTCTCATTATGTTAGAGACCCTAAATTGGGTCTTCATAGGTCCACATCACGGGAACACGTAAGGAAGGAGACAGTCCCAAAAAAGATCAAAAAACAAGATTTATTTTAGTTTCTTCATGAAGAAGATGGACAGCTTGGCAGCATACGCAGATGCTACCCTTCAAGTGACTGCTGCCCCCCTCCTCTTTTTCTGCTGACTTTTATACTCAAGTAATAGGTAATGGAAAGTATTCTCTTTCCAGCCCCTCTCCCTTGACCTTTTGATGGAAAGTACTTTCTTGTACCGGCAGACTCTGCGCTTAAGCACAACCTTTGAACTTAACCACAACACAACTTCCGCCCTCTACATGTCACATCTTGTTTCTTAAAAACATTTTCTTCCGTGTTGCTCCTTTTCTACAGAGAAAGGATATATTTTTCTTTTGCTGTTAATTTCATTCAAAGGCCTTTGCTTAGCATTTGCAAATTTCACTCAAAGACCCTTTCACTTTGTCAGAAGTTTCCATCCTGCCCTCGTCGGCCATTGGAGAGTGGGAATCTGCATTGGAAACAGGGAATACTCTCCTATTGGCCGACGGGTTCCGCAGTCCTGCCTCTGCAGGGAATCCTCATGACGTCAATGGAGCTTAGCCAATCATGGCGAAGCCGGCTCTAGCTGGGGTGGAAGCAGAAATTTCAGAGTTCAACTGTATAAAAATGTCTGTTTTGCAATGTTATGGTATCTCAGCTTACTTTGGCGGATTACCTCTCGCTGGCATCACTTCAACCGACTTGAATAAACACCTCGGTGGCTTTTTGTTCAACTTGGTGAGATTTATTTGGGAACATTGGTAGCTTCTTCTTCTCACCAGGCACACAGACCCACTTAAATATACATTTATTTATTATAATTTATTTAAAACATTTATATTCCGCCCTTCTCACTCCGAAGGGGACTCAGGGTGGAGCCCAGCATATCTACGGCAAACACAAATTCTTATATACATACATAAACATTAAAAACATTTATCAAAATATTAAAATACACCATTTAAAACCGTCCTAGTCATCCACGTCAAATCTAATTGTTCTGGTAATCTTTCCTATTGCTGCTTTATTGCCCTGTCCTGAAAGCTTGGACCCACAGCCAAGTTTTGACCATCCTTCTAAAGGACAGGAGGGAGGGGGCCGACCTGATCTCACCAGGAAGGGAGTTCCATAGCCGGGGAGCCATCACCGAGAAGGCCCTGTCTCTCATTCTCCTTCTGGCGGGACGGAAAGCAGGGCCGTCGGAGGATCCCCGGAGGACCTTAATCTCCGCAATGGTACATAGGGGGAGATGTGTTCGGACAGGTAATTTGGGCCAGGGCTGTTTAGGGCTTTATAGGCCAAAGCCAGCACTTTGAATTGTGCCCGGTAGCAAATAGGCAGCCAGTGGAGCTGGCGTAACATGGGAGTTGTGTATGCCGCCCAGATTATTAACCTGGCTGCCGATCGTTGGACCATTTGTAGCTTCCGAGCAGTCTTCAAAGGCAGCCCCACGTAGAGAGCGTTGCAGTAGTCTATACGGGATGTAACCATCACCGAGAAGGCCCTGTCTCTCGTTCTCCTTCAGGCGGGATGGAAAGCAGGGCCTCCTCGGGGATCTTAATCTCCGCAATGGTTTATAGGGGGAGATGCGTTCGGACAGGTAATTTGGGCCAGGGCTGTTTAGGGCTTTATCGGCCAAAGCCAGCACTTTGACTTGTGCCCAGTAGCAAACTGGCAGCCATTGGAACTGGCGTAACATGGGAGTTGTGTGCTCCCTGTATGTCGCCCAGATTAATTTGGCTTCCTCTTGTTGGACTATTTGAAGCCTCCGAGCAGTCTTCAAAGGCAGCCCCACATAGAGTGCGTTGCAGTAGTCTATCCTAGATGAAATGAGAGCATGGACCACTGTGGCCAGGTCTGACTTCCCAAGGTACGGGCGCAACTGGCGCACAAGTTTTAATTGTGCGAACGCTCCCCTGTCCACCGCTGCAACCTGGGATTCCAGGCTAAGTATGAGTCCAGGAGGACCCCCAAGCTGCGAACCTGTGCCTTCAAGGGGAGTGTGACCCCATCCAGCACAGGTTGTGACCCTATACCCTGTTCGGCCAGGAGGACCTCTATGTTGCCTGGATTCAACTTCAATTTGCTCGCCCTCATCCAGACCGTCACAGCTGCCAGGCACCGGTTCAGGACTTAGCATCTGGTGGAAATGAGTGATAGAGTTGGACGTCATCTGCGTACAGATGGCATCGAACTCCAAAACTCCAGATGATCTCACCCAGCAGCTTCATGTAGATGTTAAACAACATGGGGGAGAATACTGAGCCCTGTGGGACCCCACAGGACAAGGGCTGTGGGGCCGAGCAGGAGTCCCCCAGCAACACCTACTGGGTACGACCCTCCAGGAAGGACTGGAGCCACTGCAGAACAGGACCTCCAAGACCCATCCCCGCGAGGTGCCCCAGAAGGATACCGTGGTCTATGGTAGAGGTCCAGGAGAACCAACAGGGACACACTCTCCCTGTCCAGCTCTCTGTGGAGATCATCCACGAAGGCGACCGTGGTTGCCTCAGTTCCATGTCCCAGTCTGAAACCCGACTGCGACGGATCCAGATAATCAGCTGAGTCCAAGAATCCCTGGAACTGTGTGACAGCGTGAGTGGTGCCACCTGTGTGTAGAACTCTAAAGTGCAAAGGTTTACACTGTATAACATGCCCAAACTTGCCTAGCTTGTAAATGTATAGTTGGAGTGATTGGTTATTTATAGCTGTCAATCAATGTTGTTTGCACCAATTATATTGCTTCCTCAGCTCAACTGTTTGGCTTCACCTCTTCCTGGAGGAGGGCAGAGCTTTTCCTTTTCCATTCTACCATCAAACTTTCTATCAGATAGATGTGAGAAAGAGACTTGGCTCTAAAGCCCTTAATTAAGTTATCCCTCATCACCAATTCTAAGGTTTTTACCCTTGGGACTCATACTTCATACCAAGATTGCCCTGGACAACGCTGAGGAGACCCAAGCTCCTTCAAACCGGTCCTTTGGCATCAAAAGGAAGACTCGGTGCCTTCAACATAGGCCATTGGACTGGGGGTTGTGTTTGTTTCGACCTTCACAGCCTTTGAGAAAAGAGGGAACAGGAAAAGCTTCTCAGCTGCGAAATCTCCTTGGACCCAAGACAACCAGAGACTGTAATGTATATTTCCTTTACCCCCTTTGAAACTTCCAGCTTATTGCCTTAAAGGGATAACTCTTTGTGAACAATAAAACCTATTTTGAGTTATCTACAGTGTTTTGGTCCTTGGGAGTTCCAGTTCTTTAAAGGAAGGCAAGAAGCAATCCCCTGGGGGAAAGATGTCACGTCTATGTCTCTTTCACTAAGAGTTATGGCTCCCAGGCGTGACGGCATAAGCTGCGAGGCAACCACACGTTCCAAGACTTTGCCCAAAAAGGGGAGATTGGAAACTGGAGGAAAGTTGTTCAAATCAGTGGGGTCCAGTGACTTATCGGGACTCGGTATCCGTGTTTCAGGTATCGCTATCCGCAGTCCGGATCTTGCTATCCGCTGTAGGGATCTCGCTATCCGCGGAATGGATCTTGCTATCCGCTGTAGGGATCTCACTATCCACGGTACGGATCTCGCTATCCGCGGTTGCTTTAAATTGCTCTGTTCCACTTTCCTCATTGTTCATATGTAGAAATGAGAAATACAGTGACATAGAAATACTTAACTTTAATATTCAATGATATAGCTTGACACTTGTCTCCTTCATAGCTGTCCTTCCAAGTCTTCGTCTTCTGATTTCATCTTTGCAGTTACCATTTTGAACTGAGTCATGGTATTGGAAATCTTGGACTATTTCAACAGCTTCATTGGCTCTTTTCCTAATTGTCAAGTCCCTTATAAAGGGAGCTGAAGCACAGTCCGGCTGTCCTGAAAGAGTTCTAGATTTGCCCCTTCATGAAACTCAAAAGCGGGTGGAGTGGACAATGTGAGCTTCCATCTTTTCTGATTCTCCTCTGGATTTCTGCCTGGCTCTGGGAATACACAAAATTTTAAAAAGGTATTACAAACAAAGCAAAATAAGGGGAATTGAAAGTTCAAGTTTCATAAGTCCCTTCCCAAACTACATTTCCCAGAGTTCTGTGCTGTTCCGAAAATGCACTGCTCCCTCTTTTTGCCTGCTGCTAATCCCTGGTGGCACAGCGGGTTAAACTGCTGAGCTGTGGAACTTACTGGCCGAAAAGTTAGCAGTATGAATCTGGGGAGCGGAGTGAGCTCCCGCTGTTAGCCCCAGCTTCTGCCAACCTAGCAGTTTGAAAACATGCAAATGTGAGTAGATGAATAGGTACAGATAACAGCGCTCCATGTAGTCATGCCAGCCACATGACCTTGAAGGCGTCTACGGACAACGCCGGCTCTTTGGCTTCGAAATGGAGAGTCGGACACGACTTAACCCTAATGCCTAGACACGACTTAACCCTAATGCCTAATTTCACAGAGGAATGGCAAGGCACTAAGACAGCCGTTGCTTTGCTTCCTTGCCTTGCGCTGAATGTGAAACTGACTTTGGGAGCCTTCCGAGATTTACAAAATTAGAATGAAAACGTATGGGGTCAGTTTCAATTCAAAAATATTTGGTATGGGCCACGTAAACACCTCGGATATGGCTTCCGACTTACAAAACTTTTCTTACAATTTCCAAAATTTCCAATTTTTTTATGATTTCCGAAACTTCTGATTTTCTTACGATATCTGAAACTTCTGATTTTTGTACAATATCTGAAACTTCTGATTTTCTTATTATTTCCAAAACTTCCGATTTTATTCCGATTGCTGAAACTTCTGATTTTCTTATAATTTCTGAAACTTCCGATTTTCTTACGATTTCCAAAACACCGATTTTCTTACGATTTCCAAAATTTCCAAGTTTTTTACAATTTCCAAAACTTCCAATTTTTTTCCGATATCTTAAACTTATGATTATCCTATGATTTCCGAAACTTCCGATTTTCTTATGATTTCGGATATTTCCGATTTTCTTACGATATCCGAAACTTCCAATTTTCTTACGATTTCCGAAACTTCCTATTTTCTTATGATTTCCAAAGTTTCCGATTTTCTTACGATTTACGAAACGTCCAATTTTCTCACAATATCCGAAACTTCCGATTTCTTACAATATTCAAAACTTCTGATTTTCTTACGGTTTCCGAAACTTCCGATTTTCTTACAATATCCGAAACTTCCGATTTCTTACAATATCCAAAACTTCTGATTTTCTTACAATTTCTGAAACTTCCGATTTTCTTATGATTTCCGAAACTTCCTATTTTCTTACGATATCTGAAACTTCTGATTTTCTTACGATTTCTGAATCTTCCGATTTTCTTACAATTTCTCAAACTTCTGATTTTCTTACGATTTCTGAAACTTCTGATTTTCTTATGATTTCCGAAACTTCCGATTTTCTTACAATTTCTCAAACTTCTGATTTTCTTACGATTTCTGAAACTTCTGATTTTCTTATAATTTCTGAAACTTCTGATTTTCTTACGATATCTGAAACTTCTGATTTTCTTATGATTTCCGAATCTTCCGATTTTCTTACAATTTCTCAAACTTCTGATTTTCTTACGATTTCTGAAACTTCTGATTTTCTTATGATTTCCGAAACTTCCGATTTTCTTACAATTTCTCAAACTTCTGATTTTCTTACAATATCCGAAACTTCCGATTTTCTTACAATTTCTGAAACTTCTGATTTTCTTACGATTTCTGAAACTTCTGATTTTCTTATAATTTCCGAAACGTCCGATTTTCTTACGATATCTGAAACTTCCTATTTTCTTACTATTTCTGAAACTTCTGATTTTCTTATGATTTCCGAATCTTCTGATTTTCTTACTATTTCTGAAACTTCTGATTTTCTTATGATTTCCGAATCTTCTGATTTTCTTACTATTTCAGAAACTTCCTATTTTCTTATGATTTCCGAAACTTCTGATTTTTTTTTGCACAAGCCTAATAACTATCTAAGTTGTATCAATCATATCTATCCATATAGTCATCTAACCATTAACCTGTCCATCTGTCTATCCCTCTGTCTGTCCATTCATCCATCCACCTATCACCAAAATCCCTCCTTCCCTGCCATTCATCTATCTGTTCGCCCACCTGTCGATTCAACTGTCTCTTTAGCCATCCACACATACACTTGGAAATGACCCACCTTTCCTCCACTTCTTCCACTGTGTCCAAGAGAGGGACATTGAGCATTTCGGGAAGGAAGCCCGCACAAACGCCAGAGATGATGGGAGCGACACCGAATATCACCAGAGGCAGGAAGGGCTGGTAGCTACCGGCCATCAGCACCACCGGAGCCACAATCCCACCCAGGCGCGCCATTATGGTGACGGAGCTGGTGCCTGTTTGCCTGTTGAGGAAAGGGCACATATTTAACGGGGGTTATGGACACACAACTCTACTACTCCTTTCCACCTAATTCCAAGGAAGCCCCTTGGGTGCTGGACAAGTGCCTGGCCGATGTGGCTGACTGGATGAGGATGAACAAACTCAAGATCAATCCCGACAAGACAGAGGTCCTCCTGGTCGATCGTAAACCGGATCGGAGTATAGGGTGGCAACCTGTGCTGGACGGGGTTACACTCCCCTTGAAGCCACAGGTCCGCAGTTTGGGTGTTCTCCTGGACTCATCACTTACGCTTGAGGCTCAGGCGTTGGCGGTGTCCGGGAGGGCTTTTGCACAACGAAGACTCGTGCGCCAGCTGCAACCATACCTCACAAAGGCTGATCTGGCCGGGTGGTCCATGCCTTAGTCACCTCTAGATTGGACTACTGTAATGCGCTCTATGTGGGGCTGCCCTTGAAAACGGCTCGGAAATTTCAGCTGGTCCAACGTTCGGCGGCCAGGTTGTTAACTGGTGCTCCTTCCAGAGAGAGGTCAACCCTCCTGTTTAAGGGGCTCCACTGGCTGCCGTTCATTTTCCGGTCCCAATTCAAGGTGCAGGTGCTGACCTATCAAGCTCTAAATGGTTTGGGACCCGCCTACCTGTGTGACCGCATCTCCGTATGTGAACCCACGCGTTCCCTTCAATCATCTGGAGAGGCCCTGCTCACGATCCCACCTGCATCACAGCTGTGTCTAGTTGGGACGAGGGACAGGGCCTTCTCTGTGGTGCCCCCCGACTCTGGAACTCTCTCCCCAAGGACATCAGACAAGCCGCAACACTGGCTGTCTTTAGGAAGAGCCTGAAGACCTGGCTGTTCCAGGGTGCCTTCCCGGAATAGGAAATTCCTGGCTTCAAGTCCCAAATGCACTTTGTTAGAGATTCAGGATTATTTGCACATTGCACCTACCGCCAAATACCTCTACATATCACTTGTCAAGTCTAGCACTTTTAAATTTTGTCTATTACATTTGGCCCGACCCTTGGTTTTAAATGCGTCACTGTGTCATTGTTGTTTATTGTTCTAATGCTTTGCTTGATGTTTTATTTGCTTATGACTTTTATTGTGTATGCGTATGTTATTGTTGGTGGCGGCCTTGGCCTTTGTAAGCCGCGCTGAGTCCTTCGGGAGATTTTGCGGGGTATAAATAAAATTAATAATAATAATAATAATAATAATAATAATAATAATAATAATTTGGGAGTTGTAGTTGCTGGGATTTATAGTTCACCTACAATCAAAGAGCATTCCGAACTCCACCAATGATAGAATTGAACCAAACTTGGCACACAGAACTCCCACAACCAACAGAAAATACCAGAAGGGTCTGGTGGGCATTGACCTTGAGTTTGGGAGTTGTAGTTCACCTACATCCAGAGAGCACAAACAATGATAGATCTGGACCAAATTTGTTACGAATACTCAATATGCCCAAATGTAGAGTTTGGGGAAAATAGACCTTGACATTTGTGAGTTGTCGTTGCTGGGATTTATAGTTCACCTATAATCAAAAAGTATTCTGACCCCACCAATGATAGAACCGGACCAAACTTCCCGCACAGAATCCCTATGCTTTGAAGGGACTCGCTGGTGTGAGCCTCCCTCCAGCCTTGCATGCTCTCCCTTGCCTGCGCATGCGCACCATGTTTCCATGCGCCACGCACGCCTGCGCTCCCCTCCCCACTTGGAGTCTCAGAAACAACCCTCCCCTTGGCTGAGAGGCCAGAGAATCACAGCAGAGGAGAGCTTTTGGTGGGAGGATTCACTGCCTGTTTCCAAAAAGGAAGAGAAGGACAAGCGGAGAGATCTTCAGCCTTCTTTGCAAAGGGTGTTCCTGAGACAAAACTAAAATGGACCAACTCCTACAGTTTAAATGAAAATTGGACTAAAATGATGTTTCAATGGTACTTAACACCAAGTAAGTTAGCAAAATATACAAAAATGTAACCGAGAAATGCTGGAAGTGTAAAGACAAGAAAGGTACCTTTTTCCATCTCTGGTGGACATGCGAGAAAGTCAAAAAATTCTCGGACGGAGATACATAGAACAACAACCAAAATATTGGAACTAAGAGTAGAAAGGAAAGCGGAATACTACTTATTAGGAATCTTCGACTTCGAGGTGGACAAAAACAAAGATAAGTTCTTTTTCCACATGGCAACTGCAGTGAGGCTAGGGCTAGCAAGTAAGTGGAAAAATGAAGAAATCCCAAAGCTAGACGACTGGAAACTAAAATTAATGGACATAATGAACATGGATACATTGACGCAACATATAAGAACTAAGCAGATGAGAGGAGGTAGCAAAACAGATTGGTCTCCAGTCAGGAAATATTTAGAAGAACAAAAATGGCAAACGGGAAAGAATAAAAGAAGATAGAAGACACCACAGCGCAAGACAACACTAATACTAACAAAGCTACAGGAGACACAATGAGTAAATAAAATTACTAACACACTCCACGTCCCACTTTCCAAACCATGCACGACCCTCCCCTGTGTTCTCTTAGATGAGAACTACACTACCCTTCCCGCCCCCCCCACACCCCCCTACCCCCATCCCCTTCTTTTTATACCCTCCCTGCCCCCCCCCATCCCTCACCCCCCTATGCCCCCCCCCCAGTTTTTATTGTATAATCAATATTTCAATGATCAAGATCTTGTTGATGTATGGTTACCAGAAAATCTTAATAAAAAGCAATAAAAAAAGATATATGTGCTTTCTGATGGTCTTTGGCGACTCCTCTGAACCCCCCCCCCCCCCCCCGTGTGACCCCTCCAGGGGCCACGACCCCCTGGTTGAGAACCACTAATCTAATGGATGATGAGAAGTGTAGTTGTGGCTGATGGGCCAGATATCTGGCCCAAGTTACCATCCATCCTTGCATGCGCCACGCACGCCTGCGCTCCCCTCCCCACTTGGAATCTCAGAAACAACCCTCCCCTTGGCTGAGAGGCCGGCCCAATCAAGGTCCCAATTTTGTGCCTATTGCAACTCTTCCTATCTTGTGCACTCTCTGGCCTGACCTTTACCTAATGACCGTAGGGAAGAGTTCCCCTCCATAGAGATAAAGGCACATGGAGGCAGATGCTAGGCATCCTTTTCCCAACACCACGAAGGATAGGCGCACCATTGGCATTTCTAGGAAAAAATAGGAGAAAAAAGAAAACAATCAGCATCTTCACAACCAAAAAGTACCATAGAGTTGTGCTGGAGGGCCTAAAAAATGCCTAGAGAGGAGTGAATTAATAAAAGGTACCATAGAGTTGTGCTGGAGGGCCTAGAAAATGCCTAGAGAGGAGTGAATTAATAAAAAGTGCCATAGAGTTGTGCTGGAGGGCCTAGAAATGCCTAGAGAGGAAGTGAATTAATAAAATGTACCATAGAGTTGTGCTGGAGGGCCTAGAAAATCCCTAGAGATGATGTGAATTAACAAAAAGTACCACAGAGTTGTGCTGGAGGGCCTAGAAATGCCTAGAGAGGAAGTGAATGAATAAAAAGTACCATAGAGTTGTGCTGGAGGGCCTAGAAAATCCCTAGAGATGATGTGAATTAACAAAAAGTACCACAGAGTTGTGCTGGAGGGCCTAGAAAATGCCTAGAGAGGAGTGAATTAATAAAAAGTACCATAGAGTTGTGCTGGAGGGCCTAGAAAATGCCTAGAGAGGATGTGAATTAATAAAAAGTACCATAGAGTTGTGCTGGAGGGCCTAGAAAATGCCTAGAGAGGATGTGAATTAATGAAATTGCAGGTAGCCATCCCATGGAGCAGATTCTAGAACTCCTAGAATCTTGTTCTGAAGCCAAGGTTTGTGACTTGCCGGAAGGTACAGTGAGGCTGAGCAATAGGAACATTCCCGCAAGAATGAGGGAGATGGCTTGGATCGTTCGCCGGCCGAAGAACGTGAGCATCAGGGCGCAGGACATCTTGGCCACCAGATCGATGGCCCCAAAGCAGAGCTGGACCAGAAAGACGTTGAGTCCAAACACGGAGAGCTCCATGGCCAGGCCAAAGTAGGACATGTTCAGCGAGAAGCTGCGGGAGAAAGCAACCTGTCAGGAGGGAAAGGAGCAGCACTCTCTGCCAGAGAAGACTTCGTAAAACTGATGAAAATACATAATACATATATTGGAAAATATATATTGGATGTAACCCTATTAGGAATAGGAATTAGAAAATATATATGAAATCACAAAGGGATATGTATGCATAAACTTCACTTGGGAAGAGATGCTCTTCCTAAAAGCTGCAAATTAGATGCCACAAGGAGGCCAGGGTCTAGGAAAGGAATGTCTAAGGCATCTGGCAAATATCAAGAGACCCTTCTGTACCAAGCTGGGCTTATAGTAAGATTAATGATGTAGCCCTGCCACCAAGAGGCTTCTTCGTACCAGGAAGGACTTATCTTAAGATGGATGGAAGTTCATGCTATCAGTAGCCAGTGGTAGACACTCTGGCACTATGGGGTACTGGATGGTCCTCTAATAGCAACTCTTTAGATAAAGGTGCTTAATGGAAGGTTAAAGCTATTGAAGTTAAAAATATGCTATTGAAGACAATGTAAAAGTGGAATTTTGTGACACACATTGTGATGCTTGTATGATGTTCCGGCCCAGCTTATCTATCTGAACGTATCTCTTCCTATGAACCCACCTCTTCCTATGAACGCATCTCTTCTCAACCCCAGGAACTTGAGATCATCGGAGGAGGCCCTGCTCTCGATCTCGCCTGCTTCGCAAGCACTTTTGGCGGGGATGAGAGACAGGGCCTTCTCTGTGGTGACCCCTCAGCTGTGGAACTCCCTGCCTAGGGATATTAGATCAGCCCCCTCCCTCCTGACCTTTTGAAAAAGAGTGAAAACGTGGCTCTTCGAGCAAGCATTCGAAACCTCAGGATAAATAGACAAACTTGAATCTGAAAATGACCCAGGAACGGCCAAGACGATGGAATCAGATGAGGATTTGAACGAGAGGACATAGTTTTTAAATATTTTAATTATTCATTGTTTTTATGTTTCTAAATGTATCACGATGTTTCTTTTTTGCTTTTTATCAATGTATGTATTTTATATATGGCATCGAATTGTGCTGACTTTGTATGCCGCCCTGAGTCGCCTTCGGGCTGATATGGGCGGGATAGAAATCTATATAAATAAAAATGTAATGTTCAATGTATTGTCGAAGGCTTTCGTGGCTGGAATCACTGGGTTGTTGTAGGTTTTTTCAGGCTATATGGCCATGGTCTAGAGGCATTTTCTCCTGACGTTTTGCCTGCATCTATGGCAAGCATCCTCAGAGGTAGTGAGGTCTGTTGGAAGTAGGAAAAAGAGTTTATATATCTGTGGAAAGACCAGGGTGGGACAAAGGACCCTTGTCTACTGGAGCTAGGTGTGAACGTTTCAACTGACCACCTTGATTAGCATTTAATGGCTTGGAAGTGCCTGGGGGGAATCTTTTGTTGAGAGGTGATTTGATGTGCCTGATTGTTTACTCTCTGTTGTTTTGCTCGTTTGTAATGTAATGTAATGTAATGTTCGTTTGTGGGATTAACATAACTCAAAAACCACAGGACGAATTGACATGAAATTTGGACGCAACACACCTAACAGTCCAACGAGAGTCCCTCACCCATAAACACACACACACACACACAAAACCCCAGCGGAACAGACTTAAAAACCCAAAAAATACACCATATATACACACATATACACACATACACTCATATACTTATGCGCATGCACACATTCATATACACACACATATATATATGCACAAATACACACACATATATATATACAAATATATGCACACATATACACAATATGCATGTACATATATAAACACACAAATATACACACACACACATATACACATACATATATAGACCCATATATATATATATATATATATATATATATATATATATAGGCAAACACACATATATACACAAATATATACACACTAATACACACTTAAAAACCCCAAAAATATACCATATATACATACACACATACACTCATATACTTATGCACATGCACGCATTCATATACACACACGCATATATATATGCACAAACACACACAAATACACAAACATATATACACAAATATATGCACACATATACACAATATGTGCCAAGGATTGGTATTTATATAATAGGCTTGGGCAATCCATGGTTCTAAATGGTTCTAAAGTACTTACAAAACTAAAGTTCTGGTGGTGAAAATTTCAGAACTCTAACAAAACTCTCAAAATTTCATAATAAATGGCAGTTCCTAATTGGTTCTGTCATTAAAATCACCAATAATGAAATAATAATTAAATTTTGAAAGTTTTGTTAGAGTTCTGAAATTTTCACCACCAGAACTTTAGTTTTGTAAGTACTTTAGAACCATTTAGAACCATGGATTGCCCAAGCCTAATATATATATATATATATATATATATATGAAGGAAAATTATTATTCTCTCTGACTCTTCGTGACCTCATGGACCAGTCCACCAGAGCTCCCTGTCGGCCGTCACCACCCCCAGCTCCTTCAAGGTCAGTCCAGTCACTTCAAAGATGCCATCCATCCATCTTGCCCTTGGTCGGCCCCTCTTCCTTTTGCCTTCCACTTTCCCCAGCATCATTGTCTTCTCTAGGCTTTGCTGTCTCCTCATGATGTGGCCAAAGGACTTCCACTTTCTCTCTAGTCTCCTTCCCTCCAGTGAGCAGTCGGGCTTTATTTCCTGGAGGATGGACTGGTTGGATCTTCTCGCAGTCCAAGGCACTCTCAGCACTTTCCTCCAACACCACAGCTCAAAAGCATCTCTCTTCCTTCGCTCAGCCTTCCCTAAGGTCCAGCTCTCACCTCCGTAGGTGACTACAGGGAATCCCATGGCTTTGACTAGGCAATGGATCTTTGTTGCCAGTCTGATGTCTCTACTCTTCACTATTTTATCGAGACTGGACATTGCTCTCCTCCCAAGAAGGAAGCGTCTTCTGATTTCCTGGCCACAGTCTGCATCTGCAGTAATCTTTGCACCTAGAAATACAAAGTCTGTCACGGCCTCCACGGTTTCTCCCTCTATTTTCCAGTTGTCAATCATTCTTGTTGCCATAATCTTGGGTTTTTTGACGTTTAGCTGCAACCCGGCTTTTGCGCTTTCTTCTTTCACCTTGATTAGAAGGCTCCTCAGCTCCTCCTCGCTTTCGGCCATCAGAGTGGTGTCATCTGCATATCTGAGGTTGTTAATGTTTCTTCCAGCCATTTTCACCCCAGCTTTGCATTCATCCAGCCCCGCACATCCTCGCATGATGTGTTCTGCATACAAGTTAAAAAGGTTGGGTGAGAGGATGCAGCCTTGCCGGACGCCTTTCCCAATCTTGAACCAGTCTCCTGTTCCGTGGTCAGTTCTGACTGTTGCTCCTTGGTCCTTGGTCAGATTCCTCAGGAGAGAGGGAAGGGGGCTTGGGATGCCCATCCCACCAAGAACTTGCCACAATTATATATATATATATATATATATATATATATAGGCAAACACACATATATACACAAATATATACACACTTATACACACTTAAAACCCCCAAAAATATACCATATATACATACACACATACACTCATATACTTATGCACATGCACACATTCATATACACACACGCATATATATATGCACAAACACACACAAATACACACATATACACACAGACACATATATACACAAATATATGCACACATATACACAATATGCATGTACATATATAAACACACAAATACACACACACACATATATACACAAATATATACACACTTATACACAATATGCATGTACACACAATATGCATAAACACACAAATACACAAATATACACACATATACACATACATATATACATCCATATATATATATATATATATATATATATATATATATAGGCAAACACACATATATACACAGATATATACACACACATCCACACGTATATACACACACACAACACATATACACAGACTGGGCCACAGCAACACGTGGCAGGGGACGGCTAGTAGTGTAAATAGATAAATAAATAAATAAATAAATACGCATTACTTTAAAGGGTATATAAACCAAAGCAATTCCTTTGTTCATCACTCTGTTTCCTGGAATACCAGCAGGGTCCATATCTGGTTGGCGCCAACCGAGAATAAACCGTACTTTTGCAGACCCCAGGAACTCTCTTTTGCCTCTTTTCCTCAGGCCTTCTCCCTGCCTTTCCATAACGACAAACCCCTGGACTTGTTTGGCCTTTTCTCCACGCTTCCTGAAATACCTGATGAGCATGAGACAACAAGTGATGCGCCTCAGGGCCGGTGTGCGGAAGAGATCCAGGCAAGAGTGTGCAGTCTTTTCCATTGCACATTTGCCCTCTCTTCGAGTCTCCAGCATCTAGGAAGAAAAAGGTAGTTAGTTGGTGAACACAATGCTCAGCTCAATGGTCAACTCGAATACATGCACTTCAACATTGATTGGCTGAATCTCACCCACCTCCAAGACAACCTTGCTGCCTGCTGCTGCTTTCCCATTGATCCTGGCCACCAGTTTCAGGTTCCTCAAGGCAGCTTCGTGCTCGTTGTTCATGAGTAGCCACCGAGCTGATTCTGGTAGCCACCTGAGGAAGAGATCCCACACTTTATTTGGGGATTATTATTATTATTATTATTATTATTATTATTATTATTGGTAAAGGCTTCTCCTTGATATTAAGTCCAGCCATGCCCAACTCTGGGGGGAGGTGCTCATCATTTCTAAGCCGAAGAGCTGGCGTTGTCCATGAGAGGTCTCTGTGAGATTGTTAGAGACCCTAAATTGGGTCTTCTTAGGTCCACGTCGTGGGAGCATGAAAGGAAGGAGACAGTCCCAATGAAAGATCAAAAAACAAGGTTTTGTTTTAGTTTCTTCATGAAGAAGACGGACAGCCGGGCAGCATGCGCAGATGCTACCCTTCAAGTGACTGCCGCGCTCTTCCCTTGAAATCTGCAAACTTTATAGCCCAGTGCAAACAAAAAGGGAAAGTACCACTGCCTGACATCAACAATTTTAACCTTTAACAAAAGAAAACATTTTTGTCATGGAAAGTACTCTCTTTCCAGCCCCTCTCCCTTGACCTTTCGATGGAAAGTACCTTCTTGTACATGCATACTCTGCACTTTACTACAACCTTTGAAGTTAACCACAACGCATCCTGTGTAAGAAAGTACCTTCTACATGTCACATCTTGTTTCTTAAAATCTTTATTCCGTATTGCTATTTTTCTACAGAGAAAGGGTATGTTTCTCTTTTGCTGTTAATTTCATTCAAAGCCCCTTGCTTAATTTCACTCAAAGACCCTTGAAGCCTCCTTCAGGATAAGGGCCTCAGTGTGTTAGTAGGCCTCAGTATGAGAAGGCCTCAGTGTTAGTTTGCCTCAGTGGGAGAAAGGCCTCAGACTGAAAGAGCCCTCAGTGTGAGAAGGCCTCAGTGTGAGTAGCGTCAGGAGAGAATGCTTCTAGAACATGACCATATAGCCTGAAAAACCTACAACAACCCAGTGATTCCAGCCATGAACGCCTTCGACAATACATAGATGACTCTCTTGGAACAGAGGATCTGACTACTCAAGTACCGAATTAAGACTTTTAAGGACATTAAGGAACTCGAGCTTTTCTTGGACATGCTCTTCTAGGTACACAACCCACATCACAGCAACACGAACATGATAGGGAAGAGGAGATGACTTCAAATGTTGACAACCCTCAGTCTTGGAAGAATATCACCCTTAGAAAGAGACACAGGATCAGGCGGCCTCCTCAGAAGACTTCTGCTCAGCTGGAATTACACAATAGATTCCAAACACCTGATCAGGAGACCCAACATCTTGGGGGTGACCACAATAACTTGGATACTAAGCATGGATAGAGTCGCGTCAGATAACTCGTCACTCGTAATAATTTCGTTAAAATGACCTTTTTGAAGCGATATTGAAGCTTTTTTAAAATCCGGAAGTCCCTTTGCCCTTCCGAAGCTTTTTCCGCCATTAACGAAGCAATTGGGAAATTTCGGAAATTCCTGAAAGTTCTGAATTTTTTTTCTGAAAAATTCGGAATTCAATTCTAAATTGAGATGGAGTTCCAAAAATTCCGTATTTTTCAGAAAGAAAATATTTCAGAACTTTCAGGAGTTTCTGATATTTCTGAATCGCTTCGTTAATGGCTTGGTCGATCCAAAAAAAAAAAAGTTCAAAACTCATTTCGGATGCATATTGTGCAATCATGGCCGCCATTAATGAAGCGATTCAGAAATTTTGGAAATTCCTGAAAGTTCTGAAAATCTTTTTTTCTGAAAAATTCAGAATTCAATTCCAAATCGACACGGAATTCCAAAAATTCTGAATTTTTAAAAATATATATTTCAGAACTTTCAGGAGTTTCCGATATTTCTGAATCGCTTCGTTAATGGCTTGGTCAATCAAAAAAAAAAGTTCAAAACTCATTTTGGATGCATAATGTGCAATCATGGCCACAATTAACGAAGCGATTCGGAAATTTCGGAAATTCCTGAAAGTTCTGAATTTTTTCTGAAAAATTTGGAATTCGATTCTAAATTGAGACGGAATTCCAAAAATTCCGAATTTTTCAGAAAGAAAATATTTCAGAACTTTCAGGAGTTTCCGATACTTCTGAATTGCTTCGTTAATGGCTTGGTCGATCCAAAAAAAATTGGATCAACCAATAGGCTTGGTCGATCCAAAAAAAGAAGAAGTTCAAAACTCGTTTCGGATGCATATTGTGCAATCCTGACCGCCATTAACGAAGCAATTTAGAAATTTTGGAAATTCCTGAAAGTTCTGAAAATCTTTTTTTCTGAAAAATTCGGAATTAAATTCCAAATCGACACGGAATTCCAAAAATTCTGAATTTTTCAAAAAAAAAATTTCAGAACTTTCAGGAGTTTCCGAAATTTCTGAATCGCTTCATTAATGGCGGTCATGATTGCACAATATGCATCCGAAATGAGTTTTGAGCTTTTTTTTTTTTGGATCGACCAAACCTATTAGATACCAATGTGATTTTCCTGCTTCTTGGCAGGGATTGGACTGGATCCCCACAAGATCTCCTCCAATTCCATGGAGTTTCTGAAATTTCTGAATCGCTTCATTAATGGCTTGGTCGATCCGAAAAAAAAAGTCCAATATGCCAATGATAATGTAATCTGTGCGCCTTCAGAACACCTACAATGTCTGTTATGGAACTCATATATGCCGATGATAATGTAGTCTGTGTGCCTTGAGAACACCTACAATGTCTGTTATGGAACTCATATATGCCGATGATAATGTAGTCTGTGCGCCTTGAGAACACCTACAATGTCTGTTAAGGAACTCATATATGCCGATGATAATGTAGTCTGTGCGCCTTGAGAACACCTACAATGTCTGTTATGGAACTCATATATGCCGATGATAATGTAGTCTGTGTGCCTTGAGAACACCTACAATGTCTGTTATGGAACTCATATATGCCGATGATAATGTAGTCTGTGCGCCTTGAGAACACCTACAATGTCTGTTATGGAACTCATATATGCCGATGATAATGTAGTCTGTGCGCCTTGAGAACACCTACAATGTCTGTTATGGAACTCATATATGCCGATGATAATGTAGTCTGTGCGTCTTGAGAACACCTACAATGTCTGTTAAGGAACTCATATATGCTGATGATAATGTAGTCTGAGCACATTCAGAAGGCCTACAATGTCTGTTATGGAACTCCAATGTGCCCATGATAATGTAGTCTGTGTGCCTTCAGAACACCTACAATGCCTGTTATGGAACTCATATATGCCAATAATAATGTATGTGCGCATTCAGAAGAAGGCCTACAATGTCTGTTATGGAATTCCAATATGCCAATGATAATGTAATCTATGCACATTCAGAAGAAGACCAACAATGTCTGTTATAAAATCCCAATATGCCAATGATAACGTAGTCTGTGTACATTGAGAAGACCTACAATATCTGTTATGGAACTCCAATATGCCGATGATAACGTAGTCTGTGCACATTCAGAAAAGGACCTAAAACATCAGTTATAGAAAAATATGCTGATGAGAACATATTCTGTGTGCATGCAGAAGTTTCGAGGGAGACCACAGAGTTACACTAGAGAACTTAGAGATTCCCTTTGTCCCTACCCACGTGATCCCCACTTCATCCTCTGTTTCAGATCATGATACTTCGTTAGAAACTCACCAGGAATAGGCAAAGAAGCAGAAAAACGGGGCCGAAATGGCCAGCTGCAGCCAGCGCCAGTCGCGGATGCCGTACGCCAACCCTGCCAGGAGACACTGCCCTGCTGTACTGACGTAGCTCTGGGCAGAGACCACCGTCGCCCTGTGTTTGGTGGGAACCCACTCCAGACCTGGCAGAAAGCAAGAAAAATCCACGGAAGTTGAGCTCTCTCTGGAGTTACACTGACCATACTATTTGTATGCGGAACTATTCCTCCAAAAGATTGTGGGGACGCATTGGAAACTCACTGAGACAGATGTAGTTCAGGAGGAAACCCGAGATGCCCACGCCACTCAGGAACCGGAAGACGCAGTAGGCCACAAAGTTTTGAGCGAAGGCGGCCCCACAGCCCATGATGGCAACCAGAAGAAGGGACCAGATGAGAATCAGGCGGCGGCCGAACCTTCAGGGCAAAGATTGAGATAGTGAGACCTGCTACAGAACAGGAGCTTTTTTGTTGAGTTCCAGGGCCAGAGAAGCAGAGGGCGGAAACAGAAGTACTGCCATCTGTTAAGGAGTTACGAAGGTGGAGGCATTACTTTTCATTCAACCGTCGTAGATCCAGGATTTGGTGACCCTTCAAGTCCCTGTTGATCTATGGGCACCCCATGAATGCCATATGCCTTCCTTAGGCACAGAAGACCCAGAAATAATTTCCTTTTAGGCCTCGAGCAATTGGATGCTTTACTACAAAACAGGAGCTTCTTTGTTGAGTTCCAGGGTCAGAGAAGCAGATGGCGAAAACAGAAGAACGGCCTGCCTCAGGGGAGCGTGCTTGCTCCATCCATTTATCCAAATGACCAGCCACTGCCAGAAGGAACAGAGTGTTTCATCTATGCTGATGATCGTGCCATCACCGCCCAAGCAGGGAGCATTGAAATAGTTGAACAGAAGCTCTCCAAAGCTCTTAATGCCCATTACTGGGAAAACTGGCTGATTCCTAATCCATCTATAATGCAGGCATGTGCTTTTCATCTTCAAAAAATGCATGATGTCACAAAGGACGACCACCTCACCCATTTCATAGGAAATCTGTTACAAAACAGGAGCTTCTTTGTTGAGTTCCAAGACCAAAGAAGCAGAGGGTGGAAACAGAAGAACGGCCTGCCACAGAGCAGTGTGGTTGCTCCATCCGTGTTTAACACTTGCACAAATGACCAGCCATTGCCAGAAGGGTAAAAGAATTTCATCTATGCTGACAATCGTGCCATCACCACCCAAGCAGGTAGCTTGGAAATGGTTTAACAGAAGCTCCCCAAAGCTTTAGGTCAGTGTTTCTCAACCTTCCTAATGCCTCTTAATGCAGTTCCTCATTTTTAACATTGACACAAATGACTAACCATTGCCAGAAGGGTCAGAGAATTTCATCTATGCTGACGATCGCGCCATCACCATCCAAGCAGAGAGCTTTGCAATGGCTGAAGAGAAGCTCTCCAAAGCTTTAGATCAGTGTTTCTCAACCTTCCTAATGCCTCTTAATGCAGTTCCTCATGTTTAACATTGACACAAATGATCAGCCACTGCCAGAAGGGACAGAGAGTTTCATCTATGCTGACGATCGTGCCATCACCACCCAAGCAGGTAGCTTGGAAATGGTTTAACAAAAGCTCCCCAAAGCTTTAGGTCAGTGTTTCTCAACCTTCCTAATGCCTCTTGATACAGTTCCTCATGTTTAACATTGACACAAATGACCAGCCACTGCCAGAAGGAACAGAGAATTTCATCTATACTGACGACAGTGCCATCACCGCTCAAGAAGAGAGCTTTGAAATAGGCAAACAGAAGCTCTCCAAAGCTTTTGGTCAGTGTTTCTCAACCTTCCTAATGCCTCTTGATACAGTTCCTCATGTTTAACATTGACACAAATGACCAGCCACTGCCACAAGGGACAGAGAGTTTCATCTATGCTGACGATCGTGCCATCACCACCCAAGCAGGGAGTTTTGAAAGGGTTGAATAGAAGCTCCCTGTTAGCATAGATGAAACTATACAATAGCTTTAGGTCATTGTTTCTCAACCTTCGTAATGCCGAGAGCCATTAATAGAGTTCCTCATGTTTAATATTTATACGAATGATCAGTCACACCTGCCTCATAGGAAATCAGCTACAAAACAGGAGCTTTTTTGTTGAGTTCCAGGACCAAAGAAGCAGGTGGCGAAAGCAGAAAAATGGCCTGCCTCAGGGGAGTGTGCTTGCTCCATCCATGTTTAACATTGACGCAAATGACCAGCCACTGCCAGAAGGGACAGAGAGTTTCATCTATGCTGACGATCATGCCATCACCACCCAAGCAGGGAGATTTGAAAAGGTTATGCCAGTTAAGGACCAGCAACGATGTACAACACTAGGTTTTTGTATTTGAGTAGGATTTGAACCTAGGTCTCTTCTAGTTCTAGGGTGCATCTATCCATCCATCTACCTATCTATCAACCTATCTATCTGTCCATCAATCCATTTATCTACCTTTCAGGACAAAGATTGAGACAGTGAGATCTGTGGGTAAGGTTGTGAATTTGGGGTTTCGAAGCCAAAACCAAAGACTCATAGACAGCCATTGGTTATGCCAGTGTTTGATTCATCATATCAGAAGGGACGGAGAGTTTTGTCTACGCTGACGATCATGCCATCACCACCCAAGAAGGGAGCTTTGAAAAGGTTGAAATGATTTACAACACTAGGTTTTGTAGTTGAGTAGGATTTAACCCAGGTCACTTCTAGTTCTAGGGTGAGCCCCCGGTGGTGCAGTGGGTTAAACCCCTGTGCCGGCAGGACTGAAGACCGACAGGTCACAGGTTCGAATCCGGGGAGATTGCAGATGAGCTCCCTCTATCAGCTCCAGCTCCTCATGCGGGGACATGAGAGAAGCCTCCCACAAGGATAATAAAAACATCAAATCATCCAGGCGTCCCCTGGGCAATGTCCTTGCAGACGGCCAATTCTCTCACACCAGAAGCGACTTGGAGTTTCTCAAGTAACTCCTGACATGACAAAAAAACCCCTAAAATTACAAGAAACAACAAAAAACCCAGCAAGACTGACTTAAAATCCCCAAAATGCACCATATATATATATATATATATATATATATATATATATATATATATATATATATATCCATATCCATATCCATATCCATATCCATATCCATATCCATACATACACATGCACACACACTCATGTGCATATACACATGCACACATACATACACATGTGTATATATATACCCAAGCACACACAAATATACACACACATACATCTACATACACACATATATACATATACACATGTGTATATATATATATACCCAAGTACACACAAATATACACACACATACATCTACATACACACATGTGTATATATATACCCAAGTACACACATACATCTACATACACACACATATACATATACACATACACACATATATATACACAAACACACATATATACACAAAACACATATATGTAGACTGGGCCACAGCAATGCGTGGCAGGGGACGGCTAGTTCCTAATAGCTGGTAGGAACAAAGTTTGCCCGTGCCTGATCTGTACTGTAGAATGAATCCAATTAGACTGTCATAGTTCAATAGTATGGAATCTTGGGAGTTGTAGTTTTCCAAGGTCTCTGCTAAAAAGTGCAAACTATATATCCCATGACTCCATAGCATTGAGCCCTAGCAAGTTAAGTTCGGACAATCTGCCGTCATACTACAGGTCTTTAGCCTTCTAGTCAACCTCCCACTGTAAGTTAGAATCACCCAAGGTGGCCATTTCGGTAGGAAAATAAAACGGGGAATTTTCAGGAAGTTAATGAAGAAAAGGAGGAAGTGAACGAGCCTATTTTGCTCCTTACCTGTCTGAGAGATCTCCGAAGATGAAGGCGCCCACCAAAACCCCCGCCATGAAGAGAGACTGCGCCAGGCTTTTGAGGGATTGCAGGTTACACACCAGGTCCCACTACAAGAGAGAGAGATAGTATATAATAATTATTATATAAGTATTATTTATATTATTTTCATTATTATTTCAACTGCACTCCTTTGAACCGCGGATACGGAAACCCATCAGGTCCCCGTATCCGTTTTATTTATATTATTTTCATCATCATCATCATTATTATTATTATTATTATTATTATTATTATTATGTGTTATTATTATATTATATTAGTATATAATAATATGAGCCCCCGGTGCACACAAAACTGCACTCCTTTGAACCGCGGATATGGAAATCCATCAGGTCCCCGTATCCGTTTTATTTATATTATTTTCATCATCATCATCATCATCATCATCATCATTATTATTATTATTATTATTATGTGTTATTATTATATTATATTAGTATATAATAATATGAGCCCCTGGTGCACACAAAACTGCACTCCTTTGAACCGCGGATACGGAAACCCATCAGGTCCCCGTATCCGTTTTATTTATATTATTTTCATCATCATCATCATCATCATCATCATCATTATTATATGTTATTATTATATTATATTAGTATATAATAATATGAGCCCCCGGTGCACACAAAACTGCACTCCTTTGAACCGCGGATACGGAAACCCATCAGGTCCCCGTATCCGCAAGTCAACGGATCACTTCAAAATCAGGAGCCCCTGGTGGCACAGTGGGTTAAACCCCTGTGCCGGCAGGACTGAAGACCGACAGGTCGCAGGTTCGAATCCGGGGAGAGGCAGATGAGCTCCTTCTATTAGCTCCAGCTCCTCATGCAGGAACATGAGAGAAGCCTCCCACAAGGATGAGAAAAACATCAAATCATCCAGCCGTTCCCTGGGCAATGTCCTTGCAGAGGGCCAATTCTCTCACACCAGAAGCGACTTGCTCCTGACACGACTGACACACAAAAAAAAGCAGTATATATATACTGAGAAACTGCAAGTCGCTTCTGGTGTGAGAGAATTGGCCGTCTGCAAGGACGTTGCCCAGGGGATGCCTGGATGATTTGATGTTTTTATCATCCTTGTGGGAGGCTTCTCTCATGTCCCCGCATGAGGAGCTGGAGCTGATAGAGGGAGCTCATCCGCCTCTCCCTGGATTCGAACCTGCGACCTGTCGGTCTTCAGTCCTGCTGGCACAGGGGTTTAACCCACTGCGCCACCGGAGCCTCCTGATTTTGAAGTGATCCGTTGACTTGCGGATACGGGGACCTGATGGGTTTCCGTATCCGCGGTTCAAAGGAGTGCAGTTTTGTGTGCACCGGGGGCTCATATTATTATATACTAATATAATATAATAATAACATATAATAATGATGATGATGATGATGATGATGATGATGATGATGATGATGATGAAAATAATATAAATAAAACGGATACGGGGACCTGATGGGTTTCCGTATCCGTGGTTCAAAGGAGTGCAGTTTTGTGTGCACCAGGGGCTCATATTATTATATACTACTATAATATAATATAATAATAATATATAATAATAATAATGATGGTGATGATAATATAAATAATATAAAACTTTATTTATATTCCACCCTATCTCCCTGGAAGGGCTCAGGGCAGATATATGTATTCTGTAGTCCGCTCTGAGTCCCTCCAGGGAGACAGAGTGGAATATAAATAAAGTATATTATTATTATTATTATTATTATTATTATTATTATTATTATTATTATGTATCTACACTATAGAGCAAATATAGTGTGACCACACTTGAACTGTCATGGCTCGATGCTATGGGATACTGGGAGTTGTGGTTTGGTGGGTTGCCAGCACTTTTGGACAAGGAAAACTTGTGAAACTACAACTCCCTTGATGCTACAGTGTATATGCAGCATGGAAGGGCTCCAGGGAGGGAGATGTATTGGATGGCCATCTGTCAGAAGGGCTTAGATTTTGTCTCCCTGACTAGCAGAATTGGGTTAGACTAGATGGCCCAATGAGGCCGTGGTAGCGCAGCAGATTAAACCGCTGAGCTGCGGAACTTGCTGACCGAAAAGTTGGGGAGTGAGCTCCAGCTGTTAGGCCCAGCTTCTTCCGCTGAACTCCTGAACTTGCGGAGTGAAAGGTTAGGAGTTCGAATCCTGGGAGTGGACTGAGTTCCCGCCATTCGCCCCAGCTCCTGCCCACCTAGCAGTTCAAATGTGAGTAGCTCAATAGGTACCACTTCGGAGGGAGGGTAACTGCTGAGCTGCTGAACTTGCTGACCGAAAGGTGGGCTGTTTGAATCCTGGGAGTGGAATGAGTTCCCACTGTTCGCCCCAGCTCCTGCCCACCTAGCAGTTCAAATGTGAGTAGATCAATAGGTACCACTTCAGAGGGAGGGTAACTGCTGAGCTGCTGAACTTGCTGACTGAAAGGATGTCTGTTCGAATCCCGGGAGTGGAATGAGCTCCCGCCGTTCACCCCAGCTCCTGCCCACCTAGCAGTTCAAATGTGAGTAGCTCAATAGGTACCAGTTCGGAGGGAGGGTAACTGCTGAGCTGCTGAACTTGCTGACTGAAAGGATGTCTGTTCGAATCCTGGGAGTGGAATGAGCTCCCGCCGTTCACCCCAGCACCTGCCCACCTAGCAGTTTAGAAAACATGCAAATGTGAGTAGATCAATAGGTATCGCTTCTGCGGGAAGGTGCAGTCATGCTGGCCACATGAACTTGGAGGCGTCTATGGACAACGCCGGCTCTTTGGCTTAGAAATGGAGCCCCAGAGTCAGACACAAGGGGAAACCTTTACCTTTCTAGATGGCCCAACTATAGAATTCAATGGGAATAATCCTACCTCGGTCACAATGGTGGAGGTGAAGATGCTGCGGTCATATTCCCATCCGTTTTGGCATGGCACGGATCCACTGGCGTTCGGAGAAGATGGCCTTAAAACAGAGCTTTGGCAAATATCCGGCTGCGAGTCTTGACCAATGGGCACCGGGTGCCCGAAAAGGGAGACGTTGAGACGAACCGGGTGGCAGCGATACCCCGGCGAAGCAGCGCTGAAATTCTGGACCAAGTTATGGCTGGCAAGAAGCAAAACTGGAATGGAAAGCAGGATGGTGGAGAAAAGCTGGAAGACTCCGGCGCTGCCCACTTCTTCCAGGAGGTCCCCAAAAGGGACGGGGGCCACAGTGGGGCCCGGACACAAGGACAGTCGGCGTGGCATCGTGGACCGGCCTGGGTTTTGGCCCCAGTGACACTTCCCTTTTTATGCCCATCAAGGAATTGGAACGGGGTTAATGAATGACTCTCCATGACTAGGCCAATGAGTTGAAGAGGGTGCCCTCCTTCCTCCAGGGGCAGGGGTGGATTAGAGAAAATTGGGTCAAGGAGGAACACGAAGCAGACAACCAAGGAGTAGCCAAGGTTTATTTTCTGCCAAAGGATATTAATACGGCATAGGTGAAATTGAGCAATTTAAAGCAACCGCGGATACCAGTACTGAACCGCGGATACGGAGTCACAATAAGTGGATGAGGGTACTGAACCACAGATACGGAGTCACAATAAGCGGATATTGGTACTGAACCGCGGATACCGTCACAAAAAGCGGATGCGGGTACTGAAGTGTGGATACCGAGTCACAATAAGTGCAAGCAGGTACTGAAGCATGGATACCGAGTCACAATAAGTAGATGCAGGTGCCGAAGGACGGATACTGAGTCACAATAAGTGGATGCGGGTACCGAAGTGTGGATACCGAGTCACAATAAGTGCAAGCAGGTACTGAAGCATGGATACCGAGTCACAATAAGTAGATGCAGGTGCTGAAGCACGGATACCGAGTCACAATAAGTGGATACTGGTACTGAATCACAATATGCGGATGCAGGTACTGAAGCGCAGATACCGAGTCACAATAAGTGGATGCGGGTACTGAAGCATGTGTACTGAGTCACAATAAGTGGATACTGATATTGAGTCACAATAAGTGGATATGGGTACCAAAGCGCAGATAGCAAGTCACAATAAGCGGATACGGGTACTGAAGCATGGATACCAAGTCATAATAAGCGGATACCGGTATTGAACTGCGGATACTGAGTCACAATAAGGGGATACCGGTACTGAAGCGCAGATACTGAGTCACAATAAGCGGATACTGGTACTGAAGCACGGAAACCGAGTCACAATAAGCAGATGCAGGTACTGAAGCGCGGATAGCGAGTCACAATAATCAGATACTGGTACTGAAGCGTGGGTACTGAGTCACAATAAGTAGATACTGATATTGAGTCACAATAAATGGATACGGGTACTGAAGCGTGAATACTGAGTCACAATAAGCGGATACCTGTACTGAAGCGCGGATACTGAGTCACAATAAGCTGATACCGCTACTGAAGCGCAAATACCGAGTCACAATAGGTGAATATCAGTACTGAAGCACGGATACCGAGTCACAATAATCGGATACCGGTACTGAAGCACGGGTACTGAGTCACAATAAGTGGATACTGGTACTAAGTCACAATAAGCTGATACCGGTACTGAAGCACAGAGACCGAGTCACAGTAAGTGGATACCAGTACTGAAGCGTGGATACCGAGTCACAATAAGTGGATACGGGTACAGAAACACAGATAGCGAGTCACAATAAGCGGATACCGGTATTGAAGCGCGGATACCGAGTCACAATAAGCGGATACCGGTACTGAAGCGCAGCTACTGAGTCACAATAAGCGGATACCAGTACTGAAGCGCGGATACCGAGTCACAATAAGCAGATGCAGGTATTGAAGCACGGATAGCGAGTCACAATAAGCAGATACTGGTACTGAAGCATGGATACTGAGTCACAGTAAGCGGATACCGGTACTGAAGCACAGATAAGCGGATACGGGTACTGAAGCGCAGATACCAAGTCACAATAAGCGGATACGGGTACTGAAGCACGGAAACCAAGTCACAATAAGCGGATGTGGGTACTGAAACGCTGGGTAATGAGTCCCAATAAGTGGATACTGGTACAGAGACACAATAAGCGGATACCGGTACCGAAGCATAGATACCAAGTCACAATAAGCGGATACGGGTACTGAAGCACGGATACCAAGTCATAATAGTCACTGTGACATCAGTGCCCCTCCCCCAACACCAACGGCCACTCTGGGCCAGAATAAAGAAGGGGAGCCAGGAGGACGTTGCCATCTTGTCCCCTGTGACATCAGTGCCCCTCCCCCAACACCAACGGCCACTCTGGGGCCAGAATAAAGAAGGGGAGCCAGGAGGACGTTGCCATCTTGTCCCCTGTGACATCAGCGCCCCTCCCCCAACACCAACGGCCATTCTGGGGCCAGAATTGTTTTTATACTATGTCTTGAATTTTGTTGTTCCTATGTTGTAAACCGCTGTGAGTCGCCCCTGGGCTGAGAACAGCGGTATATAAGCAAAGTAAATAAATAAATAAATAAATAAATAATAAGCGGATACCGGTATTGAACCGCGGATACCGAGTCACAATAAGCGGATACCGGTATTGAACCGCGGATACCGAGTCACAATAAGTGGATACTGGTACTGAAGCACAGAAACCGAGTCACAATAAGCAGATGCAGGTACTGAAGCGCGGATACTGAGTCGCCTCCACATCTTTAAACTTACTCACCCAACAACTCACAGTACTCACACCAACACAATCACCATCAACAGCTTGCATTCTTGGATGAATCTCCTTTGGGGTGACTGTCTGCTGTCAAGGATGCAATGACTGCTCGTTGCTTAAGTCGCATTGACTGACCATCTGCGCAAGGTTCCATACTTCGCACTTTAACAACACAACCGTTCAATGCTTAGGTTTCCCGGAAAAATGGAACTGTAGAGGAGAGTCTACTGAACAAGCCAGTAACTGCCACATACGTTGCTTAAGTCTCATTGACCGACCGTCTGCGCAAGGTTCCATACTTCGCACTTTAACAACGCAACCATTTAATGCTAAGGCTTCCCGCCAAAATGGAACTGTAGAGGAGAGTCTACTAAACAAGCCAGTCCCTGCTGCATACCAGTACTGCCATCTGTTGAGGAGTTAGCCAGAAATAATTTCCTTTTAGGCCTCGAGCAATTGGATGCTTGGCTATTTCTCGAAAGCCAATTTCCTGAGCAGCGCCGGAAGGTTATTGAGTTTAGGGATTCACAACCAATGGATGCGTTTTTGCTTTATGAGCAGGATGCTCCACCCAGAGACCGGCTTTTGGAGTACATAAACAGCACAGGAATGGTTAATTATTCATCACTGGACTCGTTTCTTCCTCCCAGATTGGAGAGCGTTGGGCTCATCGTCGCTTTTCCCCCGTGGCTTTGCTGTGACCCATGGCGTGGCAATTCTGCATCTCTGTTGCAAATGGATAAATAAATAAATACACCACAGCTCTGCCATCTTGCAAGGCTTGACCAACCACTATGTCACAAGGAAAACAGGACCTTTCCTGCTTTGGCACCCCAGTTTTGGATAGCAATGGCTCCCAAACTAACCCACTAAGGTGGAATCAGGTGTCAAACAGGGATGTGTTATTGTCCCAATCTTATCATCCATCTTCATCACTATGATACTTCATCTTGTTGATGAGAAGTGGAAATCATCTCTATATATTATAGAACTCCCATATGCCGATGATAACATAGTCTGCGCGCATTCAGAAGAAAATCCTACAATGTCTGTTATGGAACTCCAATATTCCGGTGATAATGTAGTCTGTGCACATTCAGAAGAAGACTGACAATATCTGTAATGGAACTCCAATATGCCAATGATAACGTAGTCTGTGCGCATTCAGAAGAAGACTGACAATGTATGTTATGGAACTCCAATAGGCCAATGATAATGTAATCTGTGCGCCTTCAGAACACCTACAATGTCTGTTAAGGAACTCATATATGGCGATGATAATGTAGTCTGTGCGCCTTGAGAACACCTACAATATCTGTTAAGGAACTCATATATGCCGATGATAATGTAGTCTGTGCGCATTCAGAAGAAGGCCTACAATGTCTGTTATGGAACTCATATATGCCGATGATAATGTAATCTGTGTGCCTTCAGAACACCTACAATGTCTGTTAAGGAACTCATATATGCCGATGATAATGTAGTCTGTGCGCCTTGAGAACACCTACAATATCTGTTAAGGAACTCATATATGCCGATGATAATGTAGTCTGTGCGCATTCAGAAGAAGGCCTACAATGTCTGTTATGGAACTCATATATGCCGATGATAATGTAGTCTGTGTGCCTTCAGAACACCTACAATGTCTGTTATGGAACTCATATATGCCGATGATAATGTAATCTATGCACATTCAGAAGAAGACCAACAATGTCTGTTATAAAATTCCAATATGCCAATGATAACGTAGTGTGTGTACATTGAGAAGACCTACAATGTCTGTTATGGAACTAATATATACCGATGATAACGTAGTCTGTGCGCATTCGGAAAAGGACCTAAAACATCAGTTATAGAACTCAAATATGCTGCATGCACACATATTCTGTGTGCATGCAGAAGAAGAACTATAATGTCTGTTATGGAACTCCAATATGCCAATGATAACGTAGTCTGTGCACATTCAGAAGAAGACCGACAATTAATAATAATAATAATAATAATAATAATAATAATAATAATAATAATCTTTATTTATACCCTATCACCTATGAGTATTCAGAGCAGCCAAGCCTGAACAACATATTACATCAAGATAAAACCAAAGCATAAACAACAAGCAACATCATCAAAATTAATTTTTTTGAAATTTAATAACAAAATAGCATTACAATAAGCAAAAAACACAGACATAGTAAACAGTGGGCGGGCCACATGTACAGGATAAAATGTTAAAAACTATAATGAGATAAAAATAGAAGCAAGTTAGGGTTATAGAATTCCAATATGCTGATGACAATGTAGTCTGTGCATATTCAGAAAAGGACCTAAAACATCCATTATAAACTCTAATATGCTGATGAGAACATAGTCTGTGCGCATTCATAAGAAGAACTACAATGTATGTTATGGAACTTCAATATGCCAATGATAACGTAGTCTGTCCACATTCAGAAGAACACCAACAATGTCTGTTATGAAACTCCAATATGCCAATGATAAGGTAGTCTGCGTACATTCAGAAGACCTACAATGTCTTTTATGGAACTCCGATATGCCAA